AGCCCTCAAGTTGTCTCCGATGCTAGGGCTCCGTTCCGTAAGATGTTTGGACAAGATCTTGAATGCGATGCCAGCTTTCTTCCCAGCAACCTGATTGGCGGCGAATTGTAGGCGGCCCCTCAGCTTCTCGCAGTCTTTCCTAGCCAGCGTCCCTTTTTCGATGACAGAAGAAAGACTCTCCCTCAGCTCCTCGCGTCGAGCCGTCGTGTTTCTCATGTAGAAGTTGCCGAGGGAGGATTCACGCAAGTCAAACTCCAGGCCTAAGACTTTTGCCACGCTTCCGAAGATGGTAGGCTTGTCTGGAGACGTGTCCCAGCCAAGGATCTGAAAGAGCGATTCAGCGCAAAGGTCAAAGAGCCGTGTAAGTGGCGGGACTTCATTGCCGACAAAGTCGTCGTAATATACCGACCACATCAAAGCCAGCTGAATCGCCCCAATCGTCCAGATGCCAAGCGAAGTTCTGCAGAACGAGTGGACCGACGCACGAGCGCCGAAGGGCAACACGCACTGCTCGTAGATCTCTGCCTTCCCTGACCGGGGGTTGTACACTGAGAGATACGCTTCTTCCACCGCCGAAGTGCTCAAGGGAAGATTCTTATACGCCTTGTGTAGGTCATAAGATTTCATCTCAAGCCCGCCGTGTCGTCGGCACTTTGGGTCGCGCTTAAGACGGTAAGCAATGGAAGCGGCGATTGCATCCGCCGTGTGCACAGTCACCGAGTCCTCGGCTGAAGTCGTCGAGTTAACCCCAGAAGCCTTGAAGTCATCTATAGGCCTACACTTGCCGCCCTGCCATACGCCGAAGCGGCGCGAGAGAACAGCATTGGGACCTAGCGACGCAGGATCGATAGGTCCTCGCAACCACCCCTTGGCGACCTCCTTGTCAGTGGCCGCCATGAGGGCCTCATCAAGTTCTGCGTCCCCGGAACTTTTGGTGGCGAGAAGAGTTGCTTCTCTCATTACAGCCGCGGAGCTCCGGAGGTCTGAGACGGATAACGAAGCGGGTGACAACTTGGGGCGATATGCTGGATTCCTCGGGATCGCACCACTGAGGTCAAAACCCTTGGCGATGTCATTCGCTATCTCTAGGTCTTCGTGGCCACACTCCTCGAGCATGGTCCTAAAAAGGACCAGCCGCTTCCGACCCAGGACACGTTTGCAATGCTGAGGCATCGAGTCACGCAGCTCCTCTTCCTCGGCTTCCAACTCACGGGCCTTGCTGATCCAATGCCGGAGCCTCTCGGTGCGTTGGGCCCCTATCTCGTGGAGCGACATGTCAGCAAGGCGGTCGATGGCCGTCTTGGAATGCGATGGCACACCGTCCAAGAGGTGACGGGGGTGCCCAGCTTTCAGTGCTTGCTCGATGAACTCCTGAGGTTTCCAAGGGATGCCCACGGCCACCTTGTGCATTCGGTCACCTTCTGGCATGCTGCGGGACGGAATCCCAGGTGGTGGCCTAGTCGAGGAGCTGGGGCCTAAACCAGACTTACGGGTGGCTGCCACGGGACCGGCTGTTGGGCAGCACTTTGGGGAGCATCCAGGGAGGCTGAAACCAAGGTCAACAAGCCGTGTCTTCTGATCGTCAAGAAGTTTGTGGTGATCACGTATCGTATAGGCAACAAGCGTGATCCTTGGGCCCCCACACCATGGAGCTTGACAATGTCTACCACTCGGATCAAAGATTATCCTTCGGCCCTCAAAGTCAAGAACATTCCCCAAAAGCTCGGGGTGGCCAGGATCAGGACAAGCGACGGAGCCGCGAGGTGATTCGATCCACACTCCCCCTTGCTCGAAGGAGGAAATCTTCAAAACTGCATTCGGCAGTCCTGGCTCATTGTTTCTATCGGCATGCACCTTGCCTGCGAGGTTCTTGCCCAGCATCACGGAGGTGAGAGTTTGCTCACACTGGGGTGCGATGATGTATTGGAACGCAGGCCCACCTTGTTGGCATGAAAGAAAGCTCCGCACGACCAAGAGAAGTCGTCAGTGCCTCGTCCGCCCCTAGACGGTGGATCCGAGACAAGTAAATCACACAAGTGGCAAATGCAGTCACGCCATGCCTCGTCGCTGGCTGACACTCCCAAGTGGAGAGCATAATGCGAGAAAGCTTCGGGGTCCATCTGGTCGTCCTCCATGGTGGCTAAGTTTCCATCGTCCTCCGCCTCGGCATTCGGGACAACTGTGGGATTCGGCACAGGTGTGGACAAGGCGGCTGAGTTACTCGAGCACGATCTCTGCGCTCCAGCTGGCACAACCCCAATGACACTCTGGCGCAGGATCCGAGTGCCCGCGGGAAGCGTCGGCAGTGGGGGCGAGCATGAGACACAAGGTGGAAGGGGGGTATCGTCTTCCAGCTTACGCACGCCGGGAAAGAGGGGTTCGGGATTAAAAAGAACCACAATCTGCCGAAACTCGGGCACTAGGGGTGGCACACGCTTGCCGCGAGGTTGCACACCAGCTGCAACCTGAGACTCACGCAGGGGAATGGCAGCACCAGGCGCAAGGCATGAAGCGGGTGCAGTGTGGCCACGGTCGGCGGCAGCACGGACAATGATGTCGGCCATACGTTGGCAGAGCACACGAGGGTAGACCTTCTCGGCCGCTGCGTCGAAGGCACCTGAGGATCGCGACCAGGGCAGGTGGCGATGAGATGTTGATTCCCCCGGGCAGAGAAGGGACAGCTCGTGTAGCAAAGGAACATTATGGGCTAGGCGGGTGAGCTTGGCACGCTCGCCGCCGTGTTGGCAGTTATGAAAAAGGGTTTCCTCAAACTGCAGGTCGGCAACGGCAGTGAGCCACATGGTCGTTTGCCAGAAGTAAGAGCGGCCTGGATTCTCACAAGAAACGAGCTTCCCAGTACGAATGCAGTGTGCAAAGATCTTGCCAGTGACGGCATAAAGATCGTTGGCCTTAGCAACGCGAACGCGGAGCTCGCCAGTGAGGTCTGGCAGCCCATCTGGGTGGGCGTCACTTCTTGCGGGAGCAGGTAGGCTTTCACCGCGACGGAAAATTTCACGAGCACGACTCGCAGTTCCACAAGGGGGAGCGATGTGGACATAAAGGCAAAAGGGAGAATCGATCAGATCAAGAACCATCTTTACATGTTCGGGATCAAGGAGGTCCAGCTTAAGGACGGGAGAAATCATTTGCTTTGGGGCAACATGGTCGATTCCGATGCTATCTCGGAAACCCGCACGCCGAAGTTCAGCAGTAAGCCTGCCTGAGCCTGAGAAAATTTCAATGCAAAAGAGGGAATCAATCCTGAAAGCATCAGCGCCGCAAAGAGAGTGTCCGGCATCAAGTAGCGGCCCCTCCACAGGGCTCACAGCCTCAGCAGGACTCGAAGGAAAACATTGTGATTTGCTGGGTGCAGCGGCTGATGCTTGCGGGGTTGAGGCGCTCAGTGAAGCATCCAATGAAACACTGGGCGATGGAAAACACGGTGGTGGCACGCTGTCGGGCTCAGGCAGGCATGCACTTCACGGCTTCTTTGGACACGCATGCGCAGGGTGGTGACCGCCACAACGCATGCAGTTGTGCAGGCCCCTGGGGCAGGATTGGCCGACCTTAGCATTAGCCACTAGCCATATTGAATCCCCAGCAGCGGCGCTTTCCGGTCTTAGTCCAAGACGAAAGGCCCTTGAGTTCTTCTGGGAGATTGCTGGGCTCACGCAATGTCTTGGTCTTGCCTTTTCCAGTACCTTTGCGCTGCTTTTTGGTCGGGGTGTCTGTGAGCTCAGGCTTGATCTCGTTGTTTTCTCTTTTGGGGGCTCCACCTTCTCGCGGGAGGAGATGAAAAATTACCTTCGGGTCAGTCTGCAAGCGGGCCCACAAACTGTCAAGAGGCAAAGCCCCGGCTGCATCTCGACGAATCCCGTCGGGGGTGAGCTCTGCCAAGCACATCCAGGCAGCACGGTCCGCGTGCAGAATTTGTTGCACAGAGGTGGCACGGCTACCAGCAATGGGCTCCTGATGAAGGTGGCCCAAGAGGAAATCCACGAAGCCCTGAACCCGAAAGTAATCAGTTACACCGATCAAGTCAAGAGCAAGGCTTCGACGGTGCATGGCATGGTGAAGGCTCAGTGCAGTGGAAGTATCGCATGACTGATCGGGGTCACGATCTCTCACGACCAGTGTTGAAGCTTGCACATCCAACTCCTTCCGCGGTTTCTCGGAACGCAGCTCAGCTTCGCGAGTGATGAACTTGGCCGGGGAAAGGTAGCTGATGCAATTGTCAGTAAGGAGCTTCATGCAGAGGTCATACGAGGCGTAGCTGCACTCAGTCTGGCCGGACATGGTGATGCCTGTGAGTTTGCGGGCCTGTGCTCGGATGCGCTCGCGGCGCTCTGCGGGGGCTAACTCCTTGACCTCGTTCTCCTTGTTCTCCACGAGTGCCTTGGTCTGGCTGACCAAGAGGGTCTGTGCTTCGAACACCAGGTGTCGAACCGCTGCGATGCATCCCAACCACGGGGCTGCACCACCCACCTTGATGAGGGCCGCCAGCGACTCCTCGGTCGGCGTCTCCCCAGGCTGGCAAGGGGCGAACGCTAGTTTCGCCATCGTGTCGATGGTCTGTGCAACAAGGCGATCCACTGCTTCCTGTGGGAGGCCCACACGTTTGGCTCGCTCCAGGAAGACGGCCTTAGACTCTACAAGGGTTTGCGCCATGGTCTCCGATCCTATGTGCCCTCACAGAAACTGGTCTTGAGACATGCACATGCAAAAAGGATCAATCATGCACACAGCGATTGCAAGCTTTGCATGTGGACAACGCACTGCTGGTCATCATCGCATCGCCGAGCTTGGTCCGCCCGTCCGGACCCCGTGGCAGCCACGAGGTAAACCAAGGGTTCCACTGAAACCCTTGTTCGCCCGAACGAGTCTCCGAACCACGCTCTGGATCGGTGCGCAATTGACCACTCGACCATCAGACATGACTGTGAAGCTCAGCGAAACACTGAAGTGGTGATCCGCAAGCATCGCACGTCACACGACATTTCTCACTTAGAAGTGCCCTGCTTCTTAGCGATGAAACTCGCCATGGCCCCTGCGTCGCGGAGGGGTCGGCCTGCTGTGCATTGCTTGCACAACCATCTACTGCTGAAGACCTTCCCACTGAAAGGCTTCATATTGTCAAGCGACCTTCCACAGATCAACTTGCCAGTGGAACCCTTCGCTCGTGAGTGAAGGCTCTTGGTCTTCGGGTTCTGAAAAATGTCTAAATCAGGACCCATGTTCACAGACGGGATCGCATTCTGCGCCTCGCCTGCTCCAAAACTTTCATAATGAGTCTCTTCCTCGGACTCACCAGAACTCTCGGACTCGCTGCTCGAGGCTTCGTGAACGTCTTCTTGTTCACCCAAGTCCTGATCATCAAGAGGCTCTACGCCTCCATCCTCGGCCAGCTCAACCTCGGGGGCACACTCGAAGCTCTCGTGAGATGGCGAAGGATTGGCCCGACCCATGGGTGCCAAAGAGAAGCGCGACTCACGGATGGTCGCACCATCTGCAATCATCCCGCTCTTTGTGCGATCCGGGTGGAACACCCCCTGCCGGATGGCACCAAGACATTCTGCAAGGTCTCGTAGCGGCTGCGCCTGCACTTCGCGAGCGTAAGCTTCTTGCGTTTTCCCACTTGGACCTATAAGCTATGGTGTCCCAGGACAAGTTGTGTCCTCTCACCGTATCCAGCTTTCGAGGTCCAGGAAAGCGGCGTTGCCTTCAATCCGTGCGAGGAGAAAGTAAGATCTTCTTCGGCCGCTTGCAGCCGAGAAAGCAACGCCCTGATCCATGCAGTGGTCTCGTTGGCATCGATGGCGTCCCCGCTCCAAGAGTAATCGCAAGCTAGGCGGGGGAGCAACGGCCCACGATGCCCTTTCTCGAAGTCGAAGCCAACGGCCTTCGCTGCCTCTACCCAAGCGGCACCCCAAGGCTTCTGGTGAAGCCCATGATACGGCGCAACCAAAATGAGCACGGCCCCCGGTCCACTGCTCAGCCGGCAATTCTTGTGCTCATAGGTGCTGACTTCGATGAAACCCGTATCGCCATCAAGGTCAAGCTCAAGCTTCGAAATGTTCCTCAGATCCGACACTCGAGCCCTGGAGTAAAGCTGGAACAAGAAGACTCCAGTGGCGTACCTGTCTACCTTGTCAAGGGCGCCGTCTATCAGCGCTCCTTCGAGGAGAAGCACCTCCTCGACCTTCAGGACTCTCGACCGTTTCGGGTCACAGGTGCGAATGTTGGCTCCTCGCAGCGCTCCCTTGACCCAAGGGTTGTCGCCGATTCCTTGTTCGATCTCAATTCCTAGAACATGTTCGAGGAAATTCACAGTCTCCATAGCCTCACGAATGGCACTGTTCCTGGCTTCGGCAGCAAGTGGTTTGAGGAAGCTCACAAGAAAAACGAGGCTCATCGGGAAATGAAAGCTTTCATATGATGCTTGTCGGCCCAGCAGATGAATCGTGCAGAAAAACGGGCTCGCTTGAGCAGAGTCGATGTAGCTTTCCCTGCCAAGGCCTGCGCCACGACACCCAAGGGGTCGGACTCGCCTTGCGCCCATATGAGAACCCCCAAACCTCGAGGCGCCAGGTGAGTGGCTCAGAACACAGAGCCACCGACGTAGGACATTTTCTCGATCGACTCCGGCCTTCTCACCTGTCTGTAGCCTGGGCTTCTTAAGCGCAATCTCAAAGACGGGCACGACCTTGGCACACGGCAGAGCCATCGGCAGCGGCTCGACTGAATCACCTGGCCGCCTGTACTGCGTGGCTGGCGGCGGCACGACTCTATAGGCACCTTGACGCTATGGAGGTCGACGCTTCAGCACCACCGTGCAAGTGGGTGCGGCCATCGCCGACGCCCTGGGAGCCTACAGCAGCAAATTCGGAGATGAACACTGCCATCTCCGATGCCATCGATGCCCTCAACGTCGGGCAGTACCAGGACGCTGCGGGGGTGCAATTCCTGATCGACCAGGCCCTGCTGGCCTACTGGACCCAGGCGGAGGTCTCGAGCTTCGTGGCGGGAGAGCTGGCCAACTACGCCACGACTGAATCCGTCAGCTCCAGCATCAGCTCGGCGCTGTCGAGCTATGATGACTCCGGTCAAGTCGACAGCAAGATAATAACTGCTCTGCTCGATGTCTACACGATGGCCGAGGTGGATCAGGCCATCGCCGATGCCACGTCGGGCTCGGTGGACCTGTCGGCTTACTACACCTCCGCCCAGACGCAGGCCTACGTGGCCAACGAGCTGCTGGCGTATTACCCTCGCACGGAGCTGGACTCCCTGCTCACGGCCACGCTCACCCAATACTGGACGTCAGGGCGCACCCAAACGGAGATCGACGATGCCATCGCCGGCGCGGGCTTTCAGACCCAGGCGGATGCGGACCTACGCTACTTCGTGCGGGCTCCCGGCGCGGAGTCGGGGCAGATCTTCAATTTGGTCCAGGAGCAGTTTACTCCGCGGATCGTGCGCAATTTGCTTTTGGAGGCGCCCCTGACCGGCGACGCTATCCTGGGGAACCAGTCCACCCTGCGCATCCGGAGCGACTCCTGGTCCAAGGCCGAGGCGGACTCCCGCTTCCTGCGCACAACCGACCTCGGACCTTTGGATGCCCGCTACTTCGTCAACAGCCCCGGTGCAGAGGGCGGTGGGATCTTCAATTTGGTCCAGACCCAGTTCACCCCTCGCATCATCAGAAACCTTCTGTGCCAATCGCCCCTCTCCGCCCAGCCCATCCTGGGGAATGGGTCGACCCTCCAAATCAGCTGCGACTGCTGGAGCAAGGGACAGTCTGACACCCGCTATCCATTGACAGCCAACTTCAATTCGTTGGGCCAGCGCGTCACCGACCTGGAGAACAGCCCAGGAGTGGACCCCACGGCGGACCTCACGGTCAACAGGTTGACGGCGACGAGCTTCGTGCAGACACCACTCCTCCAGAGCGCTGCAGCCGATCTCCAAATCCGGAACGGCACCACCACCATCCGCGCCGAAGACGGCACATTGGTGGCCTCCTTCGCTGCCGGAAGCATCGGCTTGGAGCAAGACATCACCGTGCGCTCGGACCGCACTTTGAATGCAACCACGGCGGACTTCGCCCAGCTTTTCGTCGGCAGCACCGTTGCCACGGGGAGTTTTGCGAGCAGCAGCTCGGTGACGGCCACGCAGGAGATCACGAGCGACCTCAGGCTCGAAGCGCCCCTGGTGCGCGCCGATCCGGCGGCGCCCTGGCTCACCGTCCAGGGCGGCACCAACGGGATTCTGATGGACGACACCGTGCGGATCAACGGGGTGCTGGGCCCCGAGGCCAGCCTGCCCTTCCTGAGCTTGTCGGGCGGCACCAGTGGAGTCCAAGTGCTCAGCCCGCTGCTGGAGCAGATCGCGGTGGGGCCCACGGACGGCACCGTGGGAGTGGTCATCCGCAATGCCGCGCCCACGCAAGATGCCAAGCTGCTCCTCGACGCCAACAACCAGGCGGGCGTGGCGGAGCTCAAGGTGCTGGCCGGCGGCAATTGCGAGCTCAACGCGCAGTTCCAGTTCATAAGTCTAAACACCACCAACGGCCTGGCCAATCTGGCCATCGAGCCCAACATCGGCGGGAGCAATGACGGCGAATGCATTTTTGGCTACGGATTCGTGAACCTCTCGGACCGGGCGCTCAAGGAGAACGTCCGGGCCATCCCGGAGGAGGAGCTGCAAGAGACCTTCGACGCCGTGGAGCCGCAGATTTACGACCGCATCGACGGCGGCAAGGAGCAGATCGGCTTCGTGGCCCAGGACGTGCAGGCCAGCGGGAAGCTGGGAGCGACCATGTGCAAGACGAAGAATCTGGACGGCCGGGAGCTGATGGCCCTGGATTATCAGAAGCTTAGCGTGGTGCTGTGGGGCGTGGTCAAAAAACTGCAGAAGCGAGTGGAGAAGCTGGAGAAGAAGAAGGGTCGCAAGGGCGACTCGGATTGAGCCCGAAAAGGCTATTGGCCTCGATCGCCTTTCTACAGACAATCGAGGCCAATAGCGGTTTCGGGTGTGTTTTGGGCCCCCGAAAGGGCTATTCATCCAGGGTATGGCCTGGAGGGGTGGCCTGGATGAATAGCGGTTTTGAGGGCGTTTTGGGCCCCGAAAAAGCTATTCCTCCAGGGCGTCGATTTCACCGACGGGCTGGAAGAATAGCGGTTTCGGGTGTGTTTTGGGCCCCGAAAGGGCTATCCCCCCAGGGTGCCCCTCCACTGGGTGGGCTGGGGGAATAGTATTTAAATGGCGGAAGACGGAGCGATGGAGCTCCTCGGGCGGCTGGCCCGGGACTTCAACGTGCGGGATCCCCGCAAGCTCTTTCAGATAGCCCGCCGGGAGTTCCCGGAGCGGCGGGACCTCACGACTGCGCGGGCCCAGGCGGCATTGCGCAGCGACGTGGCGCGGCAGGTGCTCGCACCGAAGCCGCGGAGTCTGGGGAAGTGTGCGGCGGAGGGGCCCAACGACCGCCTGCAAGCGGACCTCATCGACTTCAGCCAAAACACCCGGGGAGCGAACAAGTACGGGCTTGTGGTGACGGATGTGTTCACCCGGGAGGTGGCCACGAAGGCTCTTCCCGACAAGTCGGCCCAAACGGTCACGAGGGCGGCCGCCGAGATAATCCCCGAGCTGGTCCAGGACGAAACCAACATCGTGGTCACGACTGACATGGGGAACGAGTTTCGGGGCTTGGAGGCGGCGCTGCCCGGAGGCGCGGTGCACCGCCAGAAGGACCCCTCCGACCGCAATGCGACCGCGGTGGTGGACCGAGCCATCCAAACTTTGAAGAAGGATCTGGCGGGCGAGGTGGCCCGGGTGGGGCGACCACGTGGAAGAAGCGGCTGAGGCGTACAACGCCCGCCCGCATGCGGCGGTGACGGTGGCCCCGGAGGATGTGGAGACGATGCCGGCCGCGAGCTTCCGGGTCTATCAAGACAATGCGGCCAAGTTCAAGCACAACGACGAGCTCGCGAGGAGCCGTCAGCGGCGGCTCGAGGAGGCGGGGGCGTTCCGGGCCCCCACCAATGCGCAAAGGTCCTTCCAGCCCCAGTACGGGGCGGTGCGGGGGGTTTCGAATTATGATTCGATGACGGTGCGGGCCACCGACGGTTCGGAGACTCTGCTGAAGCATGCGCTCCCGGTGCCCCGCGGCTCCGCGGAGCCTAAGGCTCGGCTGACTCGGCGACCGGTGCCACTGGCGGTGCGGCAGCTTCGAGATTTCAATCCCGGACCCACGACGCCGCCGTGATCTCTCAGACATTGAGACATTGAGACAACCGCCTCTATACCAGTGGAGGGTGATAACATCCGGACCCCAGGAGAAACCTTGGTGAGACATTGAGACATTGAGACAACCGCCTCTACACCAGTGGAGGGTGGTAACATCCGGACCCCAGGAGAAACCTTGATGAGACATTGAGACATTGAGACAACCGCCTCTATACCAGCGGAGGGTGATAACTTCCAAGCCCCAGGGGAAACCTTGGTGAGACATTGAGACATTGAGACAAATGGCCTCGATCCCAGGGTCATTTGTCTCAATGTCTCAATGTCTCACCAGGGTTCCTCCTGGGAATGATCTGGTGGACATCCTGCCTTGATCCCAGGGTCATTTGTCTCAATGTCTCAATGTCTCACCAGGGTTCCTCCTGGGGAGGATATGGTGGACACCCTGCCTTGATCCCAGGGTCAATTGTCTCAATGTCTCACCAGGATTCCTCCTGGGGAGGATATGGTGGACACCCTGCCTTGATCCCAGGGTCAATTGTCTCAATGTCTCAATGTCTCAGCGGGGTCCTCCCCGGGACCAGAGAGCATCGCATCGGCGAGCATCCAGAGCATCGCATCGGGAGCATCGGCGAGCATCCAGAGCATCGCATCGGGAGCATCGGCGAGCATCCAGAGCATCGCATCGGGAGCATCGGCGAGCATCCAGAGCATCAAAAAAAATGAGGTTCAGGCTAGGGTGCGGGACGGCAACCAAAAAAATAGCTAGACCGGCCCCAACCTAAACCAGGCACACCCCCTAGCCGGTAACCTTACACACACTGTGCCACGCAGGGACGATGCAGGGCAGCCTAGTCGGGCTAGGGTTCCAGGGGCTCGGGTTCCAGGAGGTGTTCGGGCGCTTAGGGACAACCGGTGGGACGCCCAACATGCACTCTGCGAGCCACGACCGATGCTCGAATGGACCTGTTCGGGAGCTGCTTCGAAAACAGGACGGCGCGAGCACTCCTACGTGGCCTCATCCGCGACTTCTGCTCGGAAGGACCTGCTCGGGAAATGCTTCGAAACATGACCACGCGAACGCTGTGTGGCCCCGTCTTCTTCTGCATCGGGTCCGGCCCGCCCGCCCGGTCCCAGGTAACAAAGAGCCGCTGACCAATGAGCGCGGAAATACACTCAGCCCTCAAGCATGCTGCGCTCACAGAACGACATGCGGACAATTGCACTCCACGGTCTTCGGTGGTCTTTTTTGACACTCCTGTCGATGCTGTGCGAGGTCGGCCGATCTGCCCCGTCGCGGCGTCCCTTGTGCACTGGGATCTTCCGAGACTGGCCAGACCGGGCCCTAGCCCCCCGGTCGCCCTCCTTGCCCCACTCAGCCCTTTTCCACGCTTTTAGGGTTTCCAAACAGAGATTGTTTACAAATTTGAAATATTGCTTGTAAGGCAGAGTTAAAGGGTTTTTTACTGCATGTATGTGTTGAACCGGCCCTGCAAGGAGGGTGGACCATCCGGGCTCATCCGCTGCTCACGGCGGCGGTCGACTGTGTCGGCTCCTTGCCACCGCAGGGCACTCACAGGGCAGCCTAGTAAGGTTCAGGGTTCTGGAGGATTCGGGCGCTGAGGGGCCGGACTTAGGGATAACCGGGGACCTGCACGACGCGAGAGCTTAATCTAAACGTGGCGTGGCCAGGAATTAGTGACATCTTTGCTGCAGTCATCTAGTTGACTACAGCAGTGACCTAGATCGCTACTGCTGCCATCTGCTGCCGATCTAAGCCCGCCACTTGCAGCAAAACTGACCACACCGAAGACTGGCATGATGCACATCGCATTCCTTGACATGTGAAACTGAGAGAGACAGTGCAAAAGGATGTGCAGAGCTAGATGGTGCCTGCACAGCACTGATTCTCCGATACAAATCACATCGCCCGGTCTTTCAAGTCCGTCGCGGCAAAAAGCCGTAGCAGTCTTGCCTAGCAGTGACGCCGTCACGTGGAAGTCAAATGGCCGACACGGAGCCGAGGGTTGGGCCTGGTGCTGTCCTGACGCAGGACTTCCGATTCGTCTTCGACGAGTTGCCACCCCCCAGCCTGCCAGCATCGGAAGCTAGGGAAAGCGCCAACAATTCAGCAGTCTGGGGCTCCGCGCTTCTTTTGAGCGGAGGTAGATGTCGATTTGATCGGGATCAACGTCTCGTAGGGCGTTAGACTTCGTCTGCTTGATGGCCTCGTGCACTTGGGCAAATGTCGGGACAGGCAGCAAAAGGAAACATGCCGAGGCCGGGGCTTTCTTCAAGTCGTCCACATCATTGAGTCTCGCGTCTGGGTGGTCCTGCTGACATGCGATCGCCAACTCCACTTGACATGGTGCGGCGAAGATGGCCTTTGGGGACACCTTAAACGCCGGCTCCAGCTTATCCTCGCCCTCTTGACGAGACCTTATCTGCGCAGAGGCGCTGCTCCAAAACGACCGGCAATCGGAATCCTCCTTGGGCCTCAGCTTGGCGGCGACCGTCCCATCCTGCGCGGCGAGCGGTGTCGAAACTCCCAGCCCCGAACCACCTCCCGAAGCCCCTCCCCGACGTGTCATGCTCCGCCCCTGCCGACGCTCAGAAACACTCCAGCAATCCGGAGCCCAGCCCCTCCCCCACGCCCCGCGCCCCCACCAAGCCCGGCCAAGAACTCCACCACAGGGCTAACACTGCATGCGCACACAACGCCGTTTGTTTGCGGGCCAGCTCCCGCACCCGGCGAGTGGTGCGGCAGACATGAATTGATAGCGAGGTTGCAGAAACACCCTCAGCCCCGAACCGCCTCCCGAAGCCCCTCCCCTGCCCGCGATCGGACGTGTGCCCCCACCATCGACGTCCGCCGCACGCCGATGACGGTGCGCCCGGCGAGCGTCCAAGCAGCCGTGCCCCAACCCTGCATTCAGCTACTGTGAATGCTGCTGATGCAGTCAACGATTCCTTGCGCTCCAATGACCGGCATTTGCTCTCAGACAGCACAGTCCTTGCGGATCAGCTCCCTCACCCAGACGACGGTGGATGCCGAAGTACTGCCTGCAGAGCCGGAACACTCGTTAGGAAGGTTAGGTTGGTATCTCGTAAGAACAGACAAGAACAGGCAGTTAGGAGGCCAATCAACTTCCACAGGCGGGAAGCAGAATAAACGCGCTTCGCGATGCTTTGCGTGTGTTGCGGAGGACGTCTTTACACCTGGCAAAAAAAAGAAGGTTGCTTTACAAGAGCTTTGCTACCCCGCACAACCATGCCTTGTGCCAATCCATTGTGAAAAACTGCATGGGTTCACACTTTGTTGCACTAGGATTTGCACAGACGAAGACATCGACAATCAAGACGGTGGAGGAGGCAAAGGTTCGAAAAAGGCAAATCTGGCGTCTGTAGATGATTCTAGAACACAGATAATCGCGATATCCATCGGCTTCATTCTCGCGAAGGAAGTCCAACCCTGCCTGCAGCTGAGACAGGCTGCTGGCCTGAGCGCTGGAACTGGATGATGCCCACTGGACTCCATCCGCCGTCAGGAAACCGCGCCCCATCCAAATTCTCGGCGATCATGACAGGATTCGTTTTGAACTTCTCCACCGACTTCTTCACTGCATCCTCGATCTGTTCGGTATCAGAGCTCTTGACCCCGTTTGCTGCTTCCAAGCCCGCAAAGAGTTGGAGTGCCTGCGTCTCACTCCATCGATACTCCTTCGCATCCTGCTGCTGTGGGGCCAGCCGTGTTCGGAGCCCATTGAGCTTTGCGACACCTTTTGCAACCATTTCCGACTGCGTAATGACGATGATCTGTCCATGCTGGAACGCAGCCTTGGCAAGGTCCATCACCATCTTACCTTCTGCCAAATCTGTGTCGAAAATGTTGTCCAGTATGAGTTGTAAGCGAACCCCTTCTTCCGCCAAGATCGGGTACAGGAATCCTGCAACAACAGGCACCAAGGTGATGTCTTCGACCTTAAAGAACTCCTTAAGGCGTGCAACACTGCCACTGAATAAAACTGTGATTGACCTTGGTGCGTACTTCGCCCATTCGAGCATGGCCAAAGCTGCAGCAACTGATTTGCCTACACCAGGTTCCGCGTGAATGGAAGAGGCCCCGGTGAAATTCGTATCTGACAATACGCTGCTCACCAGAAGCTGAAACTTCGTACCGTTCACAGGGATCCGCGGCAACGAAATCTTCGGCAAGAAGATGTTGCGGAAATCAGGTGATGCACTTTCCGCCAGCAAGGCTTCTGCAAGGCTTTCTGCGTGGTCTTGGGCATCGTCGGAGTTCACCAACGTATCCTGCCTCGAAAGCGACACGATGTTGCTGTTTGCAACCTGAACTCCCTGTACGACGTCCTTCAGTGATAACCCAAGCACAGCGACGAATGGTTCTAGATACTGGGCAGCATTCGAAGCGTCGAACGCCCATCTCGTGATTCTTGGGGCCTTGTGTCTGCCAACTTGGGTGATTCGCGATGTCTCAAGCGGAGCAACGAAAGACCTGGCCACCATAATGGACAAGGCCAACGCAAGGAGCTTGAAGCGGCGCTTTGCCATGGTGCAGGTTCACACGACACAATGATGGTTGTGCTGCTCAAATTGCAAGTCTCCATGTGCAGTTGAATCCGCAAGTCTGAGAAGACACAAGTCTGAGAAGAGAGATCACCGGCACGTATTGAATCAAGTTACACATCTGAGATTCGTGCAAACATACTTGGGCAAAAGGGCAAACCTCTCAAAGTCAGATGTCGATCATGGACGCTCGCATTGGAGACAAAGAAGGGTCGATTGCCTGCAGCGATAAACAAAGGATTCTGGACAGTTCCTCTTCCGCTTTTGCCTGATTTCATGAGCTGCAAAAGGTGCAGTAGGGAGGCACGAACGAGATTTTCGTTCATGCTCGAAACATTGATTCCGCGAGCCCCGAAAAAAAATTGTCAAATCTGTCAAAAGTGTCAAACGGGCCGGGCGGGCAAATCTCAGCACTTTTTCTGCCTGTTTTAGCAAAGTCGGGTTCCGACCTGGAAAACGACCGTCAAATCTCTGTCAAAAGTGTCAAACAACCTGAGGGCCGGAACAGAGTGTCAAAACCCCCCAAATCCGACCTCGAATCCTGTGCGTGGCACAAGATTGCGCTCTCTCTGGGGAGGGTGTTCCAGCTCCACAGTCTGTGTTGGCTACAGGCCTCGTTTCGAGACATAGGTCAGAATTCGGCACTTCGCAGGTCTGTCGATTCTGCAACGTGCGGGCCGGAGCTCAAGCATTCTCTGGGGCTCAAAAGTGCTTGCAAAGAGCCTCCAAACGCTTTAAGGCGGCCCCCAGCCAGCACCTTCGCAAGCCTGCGACTCGCAAACCAGCACTTGCAGGCTTCTGAGGCTCCTGGATGTACATCGACCATCGTCAGCTCTGACGATCGACGCTTGATGTACATGCCCCGAAGCTGACGAATCGCTTCCTAGCCACTCGCAGGCCGACAAATCGCTTCCTAGTAGCTCGCAGGCCCACAAATCGCTTCCGAATACAGCTCGCAGGCCGACAAATCGCTTTCTAGTAGCTCGCGGGCCCACAAATCCAACATGCGCTCTGCAAGAAACCAAAAAGGAGAGCGGCAGATAAGACTCTGATGGATTCGCACCCGCACCTCAAACTGGAGGACATAGAACTACACTGCGTGGCACCCGGGCAACGCGAAGAAAACGACAAACGCCAGTGTGGAAAAAGCATGAACAAGCAGAACACTGTCCGAGCCTTCCAGAACTGCTCAAGAACAAGTCCACCCAAACTGTTTTTTGGGAAAGGGAGAGTTGCGGGTGAAGCCACTACTCAAAAATGGGAATGACCACGTAGACTTCGAACCCCATGAAGCAAAACGCCATGCTTTGCGGAAAATTTGAGTTTGTGAAATTCTTTTCTTCAAGGGGAGGTTTAGTGGCAAGGTGCCTGGGCCGCAGGCTGAGCCGAGCTGTCAACGCCGCACACGCAGCGGCGAGGTCCGCCAAGTAAGCTTCAGCATATCTTCAGAGAGGGCCCAGCTTCAGAGCCCCCAGACGTTCGACGATGCGACGCTGCGACGGGCGAAAGGCGGGGGCCGGCACGGCGACGACGACGACGGCGACGACGGCGACCCGGCGAGGATGCACGGCTAGGACTCCCCTGCGACGACGGTGACAGCGGCGGTGACAGTAAGTTTGAAGGCATGGCCCATTGCGAAAGATGGGGTGCTGCGGGGCTAGGGCGGCAAAGCATTCGCAGGGCAGGGGATCAAACCTACTGCGGTGACGAAAGGGAGTTAGGGTGCCCCGAACCGAAAAACCACACCCAAAAACAAAAACATACGAAAACACTCAAACAAACTGGTACTGCGAAAGTCGGGAGGGAAAAATCCATGAACATGCCGCCGCTCCAAGCCACACCCCCTTACCCCCGCCACCCAAAAAAGGGGCGAGACATTGAGACAAAATCCTTTCTACCAGCCCGGCCCCCCGAGAGACGAGGGAGACAAGCGAGACATTGCGAGAACTGCTTTGCTTCGTGGTCTCGCTTGTCTCAGCAGGTCTGTCCCACAAGGCCACGGCCCCAATCGGTGCTCATCGTCCTAAACCCCCACGGATCCGGTCGACGATAGCCACAGGCTCGCGAGCAAAATCGTGCACTCACCACAGACTGGTGCGAAGCAGCCCGGCAAAGCCGCCTTGGCCTCGCGCGGGCCTTCTCGGGCTGGCTGTGCCGCTTTTGGCCGGCGCGCCCGGCGGGGTGTGCGAAACATAGGCAGGGCGCGCGTGATGTGCGGAGATTTCGTGTGGCTGTGTTCGACCCATCCTAAACCCTCCCCGAGCACGTTCCGGGGCTGGCTGGCACCGATTCAACAGGGAAGGGGCGATTCCACCGAAATCGTGCTCAAAACCTAGGCGCGAGGCAGCCGAAATCGGAGATGGACCGAGGCGTGGTTGACTCGCAAAACGGCCGGCTGCCGGGGCCGTCGGGGCGCACCCTCTCGGGGCGGCTTCAAAATCCGAAAAAATAGGGGTGCGGCATGGTGTTTTAGGGGCATGCGTGTTTGGAGTGATAAATGCTGTCAATGTAAAAAACATGGATTTGGCGTGCCAGAATATGGAGGAGCCCACCGAAGCCAACCTCGTGCGGCTGTTGGACCTGTGGTCGGCGGACTGGAAGCATCAAGGGCGCACCCGCGTCGTGGGACCTGGTGCGTTCGAGAAATACTGCACCTTGGGCTTCTTCGGGCACGGGGGGGTGTGCGGTGTTTCCAACGCAACGAGCAAGCGAGCGGCCTGCACCGCAGTGAACCGCTTCTTGAAGAGTCGCTTTCCGAACGGCACCTGGACCTCCATCGCCGTGCTTTTCAATCCCCGCATGGGCCTGCACCGCGACATTCAGAACATGGCAGGGCACTTGAATCATGCTTTGGCTCTCGGCGATTACACAGGAGGGCGGGTGTGGATCGAAGACGACGAGGGCGACTCTACGGCGATGCTGGCCGGCAAGAAGGGCGACCGGGAGCTGCGGGGACGATGGCTGGACATGCACGACAAGCCCGTTAGCTTCAATGCTCGCCGATATCACATGGTGGAGCCACACCAGGGCAGCATGTGGGCTCTCGCAGCTTATGTTCCGCAAGCCTACGCTCGCTCGACTGAGCAGCACCGAGAGGCGCTGAGAGAAGCGAGCTTTCCCTTGCCTGCTTGAACAAGTCTCTTGCCACAGAAAGACGAGAGAGACAAAGAGACATTGAGACAACCGGTTGTCTCAATGTCTCAGTTGTCTCAACGGGGCTTTTGCTCTCTCTGGGGAGGGTGTTCCAGCACTCCACTCTGTGATAGCTACAGGCCTCAGTTCAAGACATGGGTCAGAATTCGGTACTTTGGAGCACAGTCGATTCGCGGGCCTACGGCCCGCAGCTCGGACGATCTTAGGGGCTCTAAAGTCTTTGCAAAACGGGCTTTAGGGGTGCTTTTCGCGCGCAGCACTTCGAAGCAGCTTCGTGGTGCTTTCAGAGCAGCGGACAGGCGACTTAAGAGCTACTTGCTGGCAACTTACGAGCACTTGCCAGCAGCTTACGAGCTACTTGCTGGCAACTTACGAGCACTCGCCAGCACTTACCAGCTACTTGCCCGACAAAATCCGGAATTTTCGCAATGATTTGTCAATCAATTTGATTGACAAATCCCGAAGAATTTTCCAGTCCGGCATGCTTACCAAGCGAGCTTCCGAGCGACTTAAGAGCTGCAGCCTAGCAGCTTACGAATTACTTGCTAGCAACTTACGAGCACTCGCCAGCAGCTTACGAGCTACCTTCGAGCTGCTCCCACGCCCTCCGCGCCGAAAAGAGCGCGCGAAGCGCGCATCGCTCCCAAACAGCTCCGGAGCCCTCCCCAGGTCCAGAACCGGCTGAGACAATGAGACTTTGAGACAATCGGCCTGGAATCGAAGCGAATGTCTCAAAGTCTCAATGTCTCAAGCCACTCCGGCCCCGGAGCCTCCAGAACCGGTTGTCTCATTGTCTCAATGTCTCTGGCCACTCCGGCCCGCAGCCTTATCGCACCTTCAAACTGCCTTCGAAGCCGCGCGCTCCCAGTTTGCAAGCACTTTAGAGCCCCTACGATTGCAAGCCCTACGGCCTCCAGCCCTCAAAATCGACAGACCTTCGAAGTACCGAATTCTGACCTATGTCTCGAAACCAGCCTCGTAGCTGCTACAGAGTGGAGAACTGGAACACCTTCCCCAGAGAGAGTTGAAGGAGAGTCAGTTCTCTTCGGGCGGACGCGACATGCAACGACTGTTGGATAGTTGGCCGCGCGATGCAGCGACCGAACCAACCAGGCCGCCCTTTCTGACATGTGCACGGCTGTTCGGTCCTGGCGGGAGTCGGGCTCAACTGGGCGAGCTAGCGGAATCTGTTGTTGTTCCAACACCACAGCGACAGAGGGGAAGCTTGGCACTCAGTACGCCTGGCATTCGCACAGAGTGGATAGGCTGCGACCGACCTCGCGTTCTTTCGCCCTTGGACTGGATGTTATTATCTATTCATTGTCTCTGCCTTGCTAGACTGGACAGGCTGCGCACTGTGAGACGCGACTGATCCTGCAGACTGAGCCGGGCCGTCACTGTCTCTTCACCAAGCGACTTGGGTTTTTGTGAAAAACAGAGCGCGCAGCACTCGGTCTTTTTCTTGAGCCAAAGCGGAGTCGCGTCGGGCTCTGACTGACAGTGAAACACCTTGCAGCTGTCTGTCTCCAAGCAAAACACTTCAAGCACTAACGAAACGAGACGAAACGAACGTGCAGTCACTTCCTAACTCAAAAGCACTCCTAACAGCTTCAGGCATGCCGAAAACATCAGGACATCCAAGGTCAAATGGGATTTTCTCGTCGTGGGCGAACAAGTCGCTGCCTGGCCATTGGCCGGCGGTTTGGGGTGAAACAGGCGGTTTGTTTTTTGGCCACCTTTTGTGGCTCTACTCACCAGTGGCTCACCACTGGGCTGGAGAAGTAGCACCAGCCTTCGTAGCTACACACCAGCTGGGCTGGTTACTACTGACA